CTCGCCCTGCTGCCCACACTCCTCTTGATGCACCCCAGGATCCCATTGGCCTTCTTGGCACCCAGGGCACGCTGCTGGCTCATGGTCACCCTGTCGTCCCCCAGCACTCCCAGTCCCTCGCCGCAGAGCTGCTCTCCAGCAGGTCCGCCCCAGCCTGTACTGGTGCCTGGGGTTGTTCCTCCCCAGGTGCACGACCCTGCCCTTACCCTTGATGAACCTCATCAGGTTCCTCTGTGCCAAACTCTCTGGCCTGTCCAGGTCTTGCTGAGTTTCCTTTTTTTCTTTCCTTTTTCCCTTTGTTTTTTTAAGTAAGCGTTCTGGCTAGCTGGACTTTCTCCCCACCCCAAGTCTGAGTCACCTCTCGTGCGTTAGTCGGTGTCTCTGCCTCTCAGATACTTACAGAGCTGAGAAACTTGTGGCATCTGGATTCAATGAACAGAAAGGCAGGGAAGGAGCTGCACAGCTGAGCAGCTTTTCTGCCGTGGAGATACTTCACCCCTGACATCTCACGGCCTCTCCTAATGTCCGGGGAAAGATTCCATTCTGTCACACGCTGGATACCAGCGGTGTCTGGATGGATTTGGCTCCATGTTAGAATTGAATGGGAGGTGTGAAATAGCTCATGGAATGATAGTGCAGTGGGGAGCGATTTTGGCAGGATGCATCTGTATCAGGCCAAAAATATTGAAGGGGAGAGAAGAAAAGCCTATAAACCAAATTTCACTTTGGGTATGCTACTAGCATTGGTGTTCGGTCTACTGCAGCAGCTTGTAAAAATGTCCTAAATTTCTCAGGTGGACACAGAGAAAATAGACTCTGTTAATTAAGGTTAAACCCTTATAAATTTAGAAGCTTTGAGGTATTTGTGATTCGTAGCAAAAACAGGTATTACGGGGAAAAGCAAGGGCGTGTGGCCGTCCTGGCAGTTTTAGATTACAGATCTTACAGAAACAGGCTGAAAACCCAGTCTGGGGGTTTAATGCGTTCTGGTGCTGTGCCTTGCCCAGTCTGGACTGAGCAGATACAATCTGTGCGTTGCGTGGTCCATGTAAAGCCATTTATTTTGTCATTTCATTCGGTAGCAGACAAGAAACCAAAGCTTTTGAACATTAGCCTTTTAAAATACCCAGCTCAGTCTTAGCTGTGTTTGGCAGACTGCAGTTCAGCATTTCCACTAAGGAAATTCTAGACCACTCTT